CAGAACTTTGATTATAACATAACCAAAGTAAAGCGCGCGCTCTGATTGGTCAATTTAGCGTCCCCCATTTGCCCATGGGTGTACGCTGCTGACGTGAGCAAATGCAAAGACTATTTTTCCGCGCGCGCTTGTTTTTTCTGGTCACGTAAGATTTGTTAAATAAACGGGAACTCTTTAGCTACAATGTATCAATGTTATGTTATAAAACAAATGGTAAACACCACACCGTACACTATTGAGTTATGGATGCACTTGGGAGGTTTGCTAAGCACTCAAGAAGCTAGAGTCGCTCTCGGCTATCGCCTCGAGCGACTCTTACGCTTCTTTCGTGCTTAGCAACCTCCCGCGTGCATCCATAACTCAATAGTGTACGCTGTGGTGTTCACCACTTGTTAATTGTACAACAGCCAGGGGTTTCATCAAAAGCTGGTTACCGACTACTGCCGCCTAAAAGAACTTTTACAATCTTCTGTTTAGCCGCGAGGCAGACTCTCGTGTTTGGGTTTTGAGTGCGCTGCCGCCAATCTCACGACTGGCATTAAAACACAAGAGAACAGCACACATTTTTAAACATTCGAATAGTTTTCGACCTCGCTATTGGACTTGTCTCGTACATTTTTGGGCTTACTTAAGAAAAAATGATCAGGAAACAAATCTACTCACCGCGCACCAAACTTGCCGAAAGATTTGAAATTCAAGTTTTGGCGGTACAACATTTATGAGGCATAATTTATAATGAGAGAGACCAGCCTCGATTTGAAGAGTTGAGCATGAGAAAGAGGTCAATACAATTCAAAATGGCGGACAAGCTAGAAGAAAAAATTACTAGGATCAGGAAGGAGAGATCATTCCCAGAGATCCCGGGAGTTCCAAACAGAAGTGAACTCATGAAGCCGCTAATATTCCCAAACAGTCAACGAGGCTTCAAAATATTTACTTACCTGGCTACCTTAGGTGAGTATTTGAGATGTTTGTGTTTCAATTAGGACTAGTTAATTATCGCGCTAGTATTGTACTTTTAGGAACATGAATCAAACAGTAATTATGTGAGTTTTCAAAACATCTGACTATGAACGTAGGAATAGTGACAAGGATATCTATCATGGGAGCATTTGTGTGGGGCTAAACTACAGGGAGCAACTACAGTTCTGACACATTACAGTTATATTTACAGTTATGACAGTCATATTACAGTTATGACACAAGCGCTGATCCTCTTTTTGAGCAACTTAACTGGAGATGGTTAGATACTCAGCAACAAATACAAGTGGCCACCATGGTCCATAAATCTATACATGGTCTTGCACCCGACTACTTTGGTTCTCTTTTCACTAAATATGATCCTCATAATCTAAGGAACTCTGAAAACAAACTAGCTGTTCCATTGCCCCTCACCAATTTCCTGAAAAATAGCTTTAGCTATCACGGTGCGGTTATCTGGAATAGCTTTTCCCCTGAATTGCGGCAAGCAAAATCACTTCAATCTCTTCGAAATGGTTGTCGCGATTTCTTCATCTGAATCGACAAAACGTACACGGCATTTATGTGAAGCAGAATTTCTTTATTTTTTCTATTTCACTTTTAAATTTTAGATCATGTTTATGTAGATTAAAGTAGATTGTAATTGTAATAATAGATTGTAATGATATTATTATTTACCGTGTCTAAATAAAAATCAAGTTCAAGTTCAAGTTCAAGTACAGAATACAGGGCCATTGAGGTCCACGTTGTCGGCATGCTTTGGAGAACGAGGCAGAAAACAAAAGAGTGCATTGTGATTCAATGAGATGTAAATAAGTGGCCCTGTATTCTGGTGGTTCCATAATTAGTCTAAATAAGCCAAAAGAGAGCTAGATATGTCAGACACTGGCGATCTAAAGCCTGGAACTCTCTCCCTCTTTCGTAAGCTTGTGAAGCATAGGAAAACTCCTCTTCTATCTTAAAGCCTGCTTGGATTCTCCCGACAACAAGAACATACACGAGGCACTGGTATTTTAATCCGTGCCAGCTTTTAACTGCTGTTACACCAATCTACCACCTCCCCTATTAAGTACAATCTTCATCAACTCTTTACACCCTGACATCAGCATGCATATTCTCCATACCATTCTCTATACATTTCCTAAGGTGCAGACAAGGAGAATTTGTTTAACAATCAAGACCTACTTTTGTTGGTGATCATTTCCTTTATTCTCATTACCATAATGTTTGGTTGAGGGGTGATATTGAAGGAAAAAAATTAGATTCTAGTCATCCCTAGAGGCCCAAGGATGAAGAAAACATTTTTGACCAGAACAATCTGGAGCACTGGAATGCATCTGGTGGTAAATGTTTTTCTGTTTTTCATCTTTTCAGGAGCTGGATTGTATTGTGTATTTATACCTGAGTATGATGGAGATCACTGCTTTGTTCCAGTAAGTTGATGTTTTGCAACTTATATTTATCCTAAAAAAAGCAACAATTGTAGGGCTATTCTACACTGATAAGAACATGGAGTGATGAAAGATGAATAGATAGATAATTGATTGAAAATTACATCACAGTCTGTTGGCTCAATTATGTAATTATTAGTACGATATATTGTAATTGATATAGTATAAAATTAGTTTGAATATATCAAAAAAGTTGAAATGGTAAATTGGCCACCGTTACGATTATAAAAGCTGACGTTTCGAGCGTTAGCCCTTCGTTGGAGCAAATAGAGGAATTGTAGGTTGTGTGTATTTTTAAAGGCAGAAAAAGGAGCTACGTGATTGGTGGGAACATGGCAACGAGAAAAACACAAATAAATTAGTGGAATGAAAAGCGTTCATTGATACCTGTGGGATTTAGACTGCCGGTTTAGTATGTGTAATCAAATGGCGATGAGTGAAATTAGGAAATAATTTCATGCATCTATGGTATTTTCTAAGAAAACTTTTGGCATAAAATTTACTGCACTTGCACACACTATGAATGATCTTATTATATGCACAAACTGTATATAATTATGGTATGAACAAAGAACATGCCATCTAGGGAACAGCCATAGAAAGTGTGCTAATTTAATATGCAAAGACATATTACAGTAGTCTTCCTGTCTTTTTAGAGCATTTTCTCACCCAAAAGTTGAAATATTTGAATTAACCGTAAGAAAGAAACTTGCTATTTTTTTATTTTTGATATGAAGACTACACACATGGATAACTCACTAGTATTTTTTCTCCTAGATACGTGAATGGGTACAGAAACAGAAAGGAAAATTTTTGAAAATCCGTCCAGAGGATGAGGAGTATGTGAAACAGCGGACAGCAGAGATGGCAGAAAAAGTTGCTATGGCAGCAAAACAAACAGCTGGGGAGACAGGGGAGAAAATTGGAAAGTCATGAGTAAAGAAACTTTCCAACCAAAATGTAAGATCATCAGAAAGAGTGTACGCAAAAGAGACTTGTGGTATTTAATGAGGAACATGATGCATTTGGTTTTCAAGTGAATTTGCATAGATTTGAGGAACAATTTGTATGGGCAGAGTACCAGAAGTGTTATGTCAAGGACACAGCAGAGCTGTTAGTTGAGATATCTTGCTCAGGCCAGTTGACTTTAGAATGGACAGATGCCAGCTGTAGAAATATGAAAAGAGCTCAGTCCAGAGTATTTCTTTTATAAAAATCATTAATCATTTGAACCTTGAGAGTGACTAGCATCTAATTTCTCCTTACATAATTCCACTGAATCATTCCTTAAGGTCATGAGAATAATGGAATTGATCATCAACAGAAGGAGCTTTGATTATTGGACGAATTCTCCTTGTGAGTACCAAAGGAAACGTATAGAGAACAGTATGGAGAATATGCATACTGATGTTAGGGTGTGCGATATCTACAGAGCAATTTCCCATCAGATTTTGATGTTTTTTTAAATTTATTTAAACGTCATTCTAAATTTGGCCTGAGCGAACAATTTCGCTCTTGACGAACGATATGCTGGCAATTATCTGTGATAAAGAACGCGTAGCTCATTTTAAGGTGAAGTAAACCGCAAACAATTTAATTTGGTTGTATCAACTTTTATTTTTATTTATTTTTATTTACAATTTAATGACAACATATTAAACAAAAGAGAGAGAAAAAGGTAAAAAAAAAGAAATGCCATAGGGATAGTCCGTAAAAGAGTCAAAGTCCCCATGCTAGACAGACCACCCAGCTAATGAAAAATATACATAATAAATTTACAAGGACAAAGAAGATATAAAACTACAATATGCAATTAAATGGCCTCTAAGTTATTCAATAAAAAAATTATCACACCACGCTTAAAAATTGGAATGCTAGATGCTGATTTGACGTGAAATGGAAGCGAGTTCCACATATCCACAATACGATTGAAAAAACTAAATTTAAACGCGTTTGTTCGAGCATAGTTCTTCTTTAAAGTAAGGCTGCCTTTACCTCTTAGGGGGTACCTATCAGTATCAGAGTAGAATTGGACATATGTAGACATGTCTGAGTTAAAATTGTAAATTGGCCACCGTAAAGAGTTAAAAAGCTGACGCTTCGAGCGTTAGCCCTCCGTCAGAGCGAATGAAGGAATTGTGGTGTGTGGGATTATATGCAGAAAGTGGAGCTACGCTATTGGTGGTGACGAGAAAAACACGAATAAATTAGGAAACGAAAAGCATTCGTTGATACCGGCCTATGGGTTAAGAGTGTCGATTCGAAAGAAAAACTTTTGTTCAAGAGTTTTGCGGCTTTCCGAGCTACCTTAATGAAAGGAAAGGCCGCAGATTGCCATATGCTGCTTAGAATGATTAGGTAGATTAAAGTGTCAAGCGACTGGTTTTGGTGCGTCCTTGTCATTCCTTTCTACGTCGCGAAGGTGTTCTCGGAATCGGTCACCTAGTCGTCTTCCTGTTTCGCCGATGTATATCTTTTGCAATAAGTAAAAGTTATGCAATAGATGACGTTAGCGGGGTGCACTTAGTCTCCTTCGCAGCCGCTCGGGCCGGAGTCACGCAACGCTCCCCGTCCCCACGTGGGGACGGGGAGCGTTGCGTGACTCCGGCCCGAGCGGCTGCGAAGGAGACTAANGCCTTTCCTTACATTTAGGTAGCTCGGAAAGCCGCAAAACTATTGAACCAAAGTTTATCTTTCAAATCGGCACTCTTAACCCCATATGTATCCACGAAAGCTTTTCATTTTACTAATTTATTCACAAATGACAAACATCACATTCTTTGAAACTAAGAGAGGTCATTTTAATTTCCACTAAAATCAACATACATTGCTTTAAGACCGAGTACGTGTACACCCATAGCAAAATAAATTGAAGTTCCACTCATTGCAGTAATTAAATCATTGTCATGCCGCCAACATTAGTATTATTCAAAATTAAGTGCAGATGATTATCACTTTCGAGTTGATTCCATACTGTTTAGTTAGATTATTAGGTCTATTTTACGAGGAACACAAACTCGAAATTGTAAAAAAAAGAAACAGTAGACATGGGCAAAAAATACAGATTTAAAACCGTCTGATATCTCAGGGTTGAAATTAATTGAAAACGGCCATTTTAAACATTTTTGTTCGTAACATTTTGACCGAAGAAAAAACATCGGCGGGTTGAGTAAGAGTTAAGTTATCGATCACGAAATTAATGGGGTTTTCGTTTCGTTTTGTCCCAAGATTGCCTCCAAATTTTTCAGTACACCCCAAGTAAATAATGCGCCTTTCCTCTGCATAAACTCGTAAAATCGGGTTGCAAGCCCTCGGGTCATTAGAGTTAAAATTGCATCCTTCTTGTTCAAGATACGCTTGATACGCTCGCTCATTGAAATGCAACGCCTCTTCCGGGATCATATTTTAATTAAGACTGCACTGAGCCAAACCAAATCCATAAGGAGTTAATTAAGCGAGGAACCGAACGTATTAAGTATTTCGTGAACAAAACATGCAAACATGGAAATAAGTTCAAATTTACTATCTGCTCCGACCAAGGGCTAACGCTTGAAACTTCAAAATATAAACTCTTTACGGTGGCTAAGTTACATTATCAACTCAGTTGATAAAACTTAATTATCTTGTTGTACTTCCCCATCGACGCAGCACCACAGCGGTTTCAGTTCTTTAGAAACTTACCCGCCTTTTTTATGGTTAAAGTTGAGGCTGTTAATATAAGCGAGACCCAAGGTTTACCTTCGACAAGTAAGGAGCGAATTAAGACAAAGCAAACTAGATTGGATATGAATCCCAATGACTCCGACTGACATGACCTTTTCTTCTCTGGGAATATAGGGACATTACTCTCTATTATGTCTGTCCAACCCAAAAAAAGGTTCCCACTGAGATCCCTTTGTGTTTTTCACAAGAAATTTCGAAAGGTGTTTGAAAGTGACCTAATACAACACGTTTCTCTTCAAACATGTTTAAAATGGAAAAAGTGTAGTCGGAGATGTCACGAGTTTTATGGAAAATGGTTGCCTCTGGCTGTTGTTATTTCTGAAGCAGACGTTTCGCGAAGGTCAAAGTAGCCTACAAACCACAACAAACAATCAACAGCCCTTTTCCACGCCCCAAGGAGCGAGACGAACCTGTCCGCAAGAAGTCAGGCATGGTGTACAAAATCAATTCCACACAGTGTAATTTTAAGTACTATAGCCAAACAGAAAGGTCATTAAAGACCAGAATTGCGGACTTTACAAACGTCAGGGTCGTCGGTTTCGAATCTAATTACCACGAGAGACTTTTCCTTAAGCCTGGCACTCTAATTTGGATCCGAATGCTGGGAACGATTACATCGTACTTCCAGAAGCCTATAAAGACCTCGCGCGAGCATCAAATACATAGTTACGCGCGCAAGCTTCGCGTCACGTTTTTAACTTTTAAATAGTGCATGATAACGATCTTCTTTTTTTATAACACTGATGAAGGCTTAAGCATTAGCCGAAACGTCTGCTTCAGAAATAGCAACAGTCAGAGACAACCATTTTCCTTAAAACTCTCTTCAAATATGTTGGTGTTGTTTTATCAGAGCGGCTAGCGCCACGTCAGTTTGTTTAAAGTTACAGCCGGTGAACGAGTATTCCAGTGAATTAATTTTGCATTATATACTTAAGAGAACTCGGAAAGACTCAGAATTTGAACTTTATCTTCCAAAAGCCAGCGAGTCAGTTTCTAGGTACAGTATATCAGAAAGTAAATGCGGAAAAAAGAACTGACAATAGTAACTTCAAAATCAATTAGCTTTATGTCGCGTCATTCCCGTGTAAGCGTTGTTGACAATTTAGAGACTTCCTTTTCAAACGAGAAAATTCGAGTTGGTTACCTCTTATGCAATGCACAGAAACCTATGTCAATAAAGGTTATCAACTCGTCTATGAGTTCTATATTCCCGTTTGTCTTTTAAAGGAAACATTCGATCGGAGAAAAGAACACTGTGTTGAATTGAACGCTGATTTTCTAAAGGTAAGGTATTGTAAGTAATTCATGAAGTGCTCTTGATCAATAACTTTACGGAGTGGAACAACGAGCTAGGACATAAAGAAATCGATCCCTCAGGTGTTCAATTGAAAAGCGCGCCGTAAATGATAGATTACCTCATAAGTAACATGCTCTAGATGTTTTTTGCTGCGATCGATTGAAATCGATTCCGCCTTTATCTAATTATTTTTTATTTAATTTTCTTTAGATCAAAACCAAATGACGACCACGTTTTTCAAGTTCGTTGTGGTTGTCTTGATATCCGCCCTGTTCATTGACGAAGCTTCAGCGAATGTCTGTCCTCGTTGGGTGAAGCTTAACAAGAGTCCGGTCTGTTTCGGGGCTCGAAGTAACCAGTACGGTCGTTTTACCTACCCTCGGAACATCTTCGTGAGCTCGTTCATGCTCGTCCACCGCTCTGGAACAGTGACGTGTAATAAAAAAAATTACAGCTACTGGGGATGTCTTCGTAATAACGCAGGTCTTGTTGTTGTCTTAACGGACCATCAAAACAAGCTTTTGGCCCCAGCTGCTACCAATAGTGCTGGATGGTACAGTCTGGCAGGTTACACCTCCTCGTCTTCTGCTCTCGTGTTCTGTGCTCCCAAGAAGCCTCACTGTATCTTCGCCAATACCGAGCTGCGCCTGTGGTACGGAGAAGATTTACGTGGCAGGACAGAGAGTGATAACGGCGGCCGAACATGCGCAGATGTGTATGGTCTTTTGGCCTAAACTTTTCCTAATAAGAAACCTCGAACATTAGACTGAATAGATCAGTTGTTGTTAAAAATTTAGTTTTTTCTTTGTACTAAGCTATCGGAAAAAAGAAAATAAAATCATTCGAGGTGAGGTAACTGGTATTTATTTATGACCAAAGCCTATTTATTAAAAAAAAGACCGTAAACTTAGAGGCTGAATGCTTCTTGTTCAGCAGTTTCATTTAAAACCTACAGAGAAAGTCCAAAACAATGAAGCTCTTCTATCATATGGCCATTCATTAGTATGATCGAAAAAAGTATTTAGAAACACAAATCATTAGTCTGCAAAACTGACAAAATCTTGCCACATCCGCTTAACAAGGCCAGAATATTTACGAAACAAAGGCGACCCCAAATATCGGTGACAATCTGCCAATAATACGTATCCTCATACGTATTTATTGGCAAAAAATGCTGAATGCTGAATGCTTAATTCTTGTTCAGCAGTTTCATTTAAAACCCACGGAGAAAGTCCAAAACAGTGGAGCTCTTCTATCATATGGCCATTCATAAGTGTGATCGAAAAAAGTATTTAGAAGCGCAAATTTAGTCTGCAAAACTGACAAAATCTTGCCACATCCGCTTAACAAGGCCAGAATACTTACGAAACAAAGGCGACCCCAAATATCGGTGACAATCTGCCAAAAATATATACGTGTCCTCATTCAAGTCGGATTTTCGAGCGGTGAAATGGTAAAAGTAAATAATTAAAAGGAAAGATTTGACAAAATTCAATCTAACTACAAATTTACAAAGGGGAGAAAAAACATGAGAGGTCAGAGAATCTCTCAGAACTACACACGTGCTAGGGAAACTAAACCGGAATTCTTTTAAAGAACTGGAGCCGTGGGGCTTAATTATATAATTTGGATCAACAAAGTTGAAATGGTAAATTGGCCACCGTAACGATTACAAAAGCTGACAAAAGTTGAAATGGTAAATTGGCCACCGTAACGACTACAAAAGCTGACAAAACGTCAGCTTTTGTAATCGTTACGGTGGCCAATTTACCATTTCATCTTTGTTGATATATCCAAATTATTTCGTTACCCCCACCGACGCAGCCCCAAACAGTTTCTTTAGAAACT